GAGTGTCCTGTGGTCAGTCGAGTCCAAATTTGACATTCTTGTTGGAAATCATGGGCGTCGTGTCCTGCGGGCTAAAGAGGAGAAAGACCACCCCTCCTGTTATCAGCGTTCAGTTCAAAAGCCAGCATCTCTGATGGTATGGGGATGCATCAGTGCATATGGTGTGGGACACTTGCATGTTTTAAAAAGCACCATGAATGCTGAAAAGTATATAAAGGTTTTAGAGCAACATATGCTCCCCTCCCGACGACATCTATTCCAGGGAAGGCCTTGTGTATTTCAGCAGGACAATGCAAACCCACAAACTGCAGCTATTACAACAGCATGGCTTCGTAGTAGAAGAGTTTGTGTGCTGAACTGGCCTGCCTACAGTCCTGATCTTTCACCGATTGAGAACATTTGGGGCATAATAAAATGAAAAGTACGTCAAAGGAGACCCAAAACTTTCCAGCAGCTGGAAGCCTGTATTAAACAAGAATAGGATCAAATTCCAATTGCTAAACTCAAGAAACTTGTTTTCTCAATGCCCAGACGCCTCCACTTTGTGTTACGCAGAAGTTGGGATGGTACACCATGGTAAACAGGCCCCTGTCCCAACTTTTTTGAGACCTGTAGCAGCCATCAAATTTGAAATGAGCGCATTTTGTGGATAAAATTGTAAAATTTCTCAGTTTCAACATTTGCTATGTTACCTCTGTTCTATTGTGAATAAAATACTGGCTGGTGTGATTTTAAAGTCATTGCATTTTGATTTTATTCACAATTTACACTTTGTCCCAACTATTTCGGAATTGGGGTTGTATATTTCAGAGGTGGAACTAACAATCTTCTGGCCCATTATTGCATGAATAGATTTTTACCTTTAGCATGAAAAATATGGGTCTAACTCGGAAAATTTGAAAGGCGGAGTTTGACCACTATTGTTCTGAGGGGCTCATATAATAGTCAATCATTATTTCTGGTGGATACAACAAAATGTGTTATATTGTTTCAAAACCAAATTGAATAAGGCCTACACAAGTAAAAATGAAAAGAAGCTGAACAGTTCTTCATTTTATGGTTGTTGGCCTCAAAAAAGCACTGTTCTGGAAATGAAAAAGAATATTACTGAGCCTGGTTCTCTTTGCATCATTAGTGGGAATGAGAAAAAAACTGCCTGCATATCTCCAAACCAATTTCCCATGTTGACTTCAGCATCAATAAAACATGAACAAGGACTACAAAACAATTTTAAGTCCTACATGGTACCATTTCCATTATAAATAATAGTTCACGAGTACTCATTTCCATACAAATAGACTTTATTATGGACTACACAGTCCTGGAGAAATGCTAAAAATAATCATGGTTTATGGCTGTTTTTTTTTTCTGTGTTCATATTTGTTTCTGTATTGCATCACTTGGTGATCAACTTTTTACAAATCAGTCTTTTGGTACAACCACTTGATGTAAATTGTTTCAAGCCTATCATATTGCTCTGATATCTTCTTTTTGTTTTTGGAAGGACACATACCTGTTCTGAGCCTCATTTTGGGCTACTTCTTTTCACTACAATCCATCAGCACAATTGCTCGTTTTGATGGACATTAGCGGAAATGAGAAGTGGTTAACTGCCATCTGAAGCTCATTTTCTCAGGGCTGGGACAAATGTGGGTGTATGCAATACTTCCATTTTTTAAAATCAGTCATAATCATGAGCATATATCATTGTTCCACTGCATTTTTTTTTTTGGGTGATTTTTCTTGTGTGTCTGTGCATGTGTGTATATGTGTGTGTGTGTGTGTGTGCGCGCGCGAGCATATGTTTGTGCGAGAGAGAGATGGAGAGAAGGAGAAAAAGAGAAAGGAACAGAAACAGGTTATTCTTCACTCTTGCATGCACTCCTCTCCCTTCATATCAACCCCAAAAGAAGACCAGACCCAGAGGCCCAAGCATCACTGAATTATAGATTATAGAACCATGTTCACTTGAGCAAAGCTGCTGGTTCCCTGTCAGACCGACACAAAGATACAGGCTGCTGATTCACCTCAGAACCTCATTAAAATCCACATCGAATATTTATTTGCCTGGGTATGGGATAGAAAAAGAGAAAACTATCCTTGGGTGTATTTTTTATACAGTATAGGGTACTTTTCATACAGAACAAAAAAATCAGGCAAGCAGAGTTTAGGTGGACCAAGACTACCCAAGAAATTTTTGAACTACTTGCTGTCACTGGCAAAAGTGCAAATCATATGCTGCAAGGACATGGTCAGAGTTAAATTCAGAGTCTTGTAGTCCTTGGTGACACAGACCTATTCACAGATGGCTGAGTGAGTAAATCATAGCCAGACTGAGTGTCAGGAATTTAGGGCTAAAATCATGCAGTGAAAGCTTGGCACTACAAGTAAATCCCAAACAACATTCAAAAACAGAGCTTACAAAAATGTGAGTGGTTCTGTGGAGTGCAGTGAGAGGCAACAAAGCAACATGAGATAAAGACAAGTTTGGCACAGTGGAGGATAACTGATGATATCAATGTGCACAGATGGTCTGATCATATCTGAGGCCCATGGAGAGAGTGATATCAAACTGATATCATCCTTATTTACAGTTCAACCTCCTCCCCAATACTAAAAGCACACATTTGATATTCGGGGAATTATGGTCTTTCATTAAGTGTAAAATATTCTCACATATCCTTGTTTATTCAGCTTGTTTAAAGGTCATTCCATGTCAAATCACCCAAAAAAATGGGATTCTACACCTCACTTGTATTGATTCTATTTCAAATTTGGTATGCAAGTTGGCTATGGCCCCAAACGCCCAAATCTCAAATTTCAACTCAATCGGACCTTCCAGTGCAAAGTTATGGCCTTTTTTTTTTTTTTTTTTTATTTCACGAAAAATAGCCGTGGCCGCCAAAATTCAAATGGCCATATCACACAAGGGAATCACACAAGCATTCCAAATCTGCCATTTTTAAACTCATTCTGGTAACTCTGGGTGTGATAAATAATTGACCTATATTTTGACCTCAAAATTTACCTTGAGGGTCGCGTGACCTTGAATTTATTTGAACACCAAATTGTGCCCTGATGAGTTATCTACAACATATCAAAAACTTGGAAACATATTATTTTTTTGTTTTTCAGCAATATCCAATTAAATCTGGTATACCCTTGCTGAAATTCAGGTCTCTGTACACAAAATGTACTACGTACATACTTATCCCTACAGCTGAGTTCTGTTAAGTGTAGACTTGTTCCATGTATGGTCAAGTAATGTTTTTTACCCTGATAGCTTGCACACTTGGCAGTAAAAATCAAATTCAAATCCCACTATCAAAGTTGCTCCTGGAAGTGTAGTCCCACTTGGTTCAGTTTATTCAGAATCAATTTGCCAAACTGGGCAGACTTTTGAAATTTTCATCAAGTCACGGCGGCTGAGAGTATATTGCCTTGATGAGGATGATGTAAGTGATGGGGTGTCAATAACACATAGAATATCCACCTCCGATAGCCAACAAATGTAATTCCGTGATGGCCAATGTTTTGATTGATTTGTATCCTAATACAAACAAACTGTAAACAAGATTTATTGAAGGCATCCTGAATAAAATGAAGTTATACAACCCCAATTCCGAAATACTTGGGACAGTAAATTGTGAATAAAATCAAAACGCAATGACTTTCAAATCACACCAGCCAGTATTTTATTCACAATAGGACAGAGATAACATAGCAAATGTTGAAACTGTGAAATTTTACAATTTTATCCACAAAATGAGCTCATTTCAAATTTGATGGCTGCTACAGGTCTCAAAAAAGTTGGGACAGGGGCCTGTTTACCATGGTGTAGTATCCCCTCTTCTTTTTAACACAGAGTGGAGGCCTCAGGGCATTGAGGAGACAATTTTCTTGAGGTTAGCCATTGGAATTTGATCCCACTCTTGTTTAATACAGGCTTCCAGCTGCTGGAGAGTTTTGGGTCTCCTTTGACAGACTTTTCCTTTAATTATGTGCCAAATGTTCTCAATCTGTGAAAGATCAGGACTGCAGGCAGGCCAGTTCAGCACATAGACTCTTCTACTACGAAGCCATGCTGTTATAATAGCTGGAGTATGTGGTTTTGCATTGTCCTGCTGAAATACACAAGGCCTTCCCTGGAATAGATGTCAACTGGAGGGGAGCATATGTTGCTCTAAAACCTTTATATACCTTTCAGCATTCATGGTGCTTTTTAAAACATGCAAGTGTCCCACACCATATGCACTAATGCATCCCCATACCATCAGAGATGCTGGCTTTTGAACTGAGCGCTGACAACAGGAGGGGTGGTCTTTCTCCTCTTTAGCTCAGAGGACACAACGCCCATGATTTCCAACAAGAATGTCAAATTTGGACTCGTCTGACCACAGGACACTTTACCACTTTGCTACAGTCCATTTTAAATGAGCCTTGGCCCACAGAACACGTTGGAGCTTCTGGATCATACTCAACAATGGCTTCCTTTTTGCATGATAGAGTTTTAGGTGGCATCTGTGGATGGCACGGCGGACTGTGTTTACAGACAGTGGTTTCTTGAAGTATTCCTGGGCCCATTTAGTAATGTCAATGACAGAATCATGCCGATGAATGATGGAGTGGCGTCTGAGGGCCCAAAGATCAGGGGCACCCAGTAAAGGTCTTTTGCCTTGTCTCTTACGCACTGAGATTTTTCCAGTTTCTCTGAATCTTTTGAGGGGAATTTTCCCTTTATTTGACAGTTATACAGTGTAGAGAGACAAGAAGGTTGGGGAGCAGAACGGGGGAAGACATGCAGCAAATGACCTGAGCTGCAGTCGAACCCAGGTCGCTGCGGGAAGGACACAGCCTTTATGGTATGCGTGCTTAGACCGATGAGCCACCGGGGTGCCCCACATTTCAATACTTTTTAACCATTGTTTTTGTGGCATTTCATCTTTATTGGACAATCACACAAGAGAGACAAGAAAGAGGGGGGTTGACATGCCGCAAATGGCCTGAGGTCAGAGTTGAACCCAGGCAGCTGCATTGAGGACTCAGCCTTAATGTATGGGGCATATGCTCTACCAGGTGAGCTACCCAGGCATGACATTTAAATAATCAATAATTTGTAATTAATCAACAATTCTTCAACCAGTGAACATTCAGCGTTGTTTTGAAATAATGTCTGCTCTTCAATGGACATGTTTACAAAAGTTAGAATTCATTGATGGTTGTTCATGGTTCCTGTTTCAGTCATTGACAGTCTGCCCAATTTGTGAAATTGTTCCCAGCACATTTTTAAGGAAATGCTCTGAAAGCCGTGCATTCGGCAGTTTTACATTCTTCTTTCAACCTCCTCAAGAGGGTATAGAGCAGTGCAGGTCACTCAGATTGCAGTTGTCAGAACAGAAATGTAGGCCTAGTGTACACACAGCCTACCTTGATCCACCATAACAAATACGGTAACTCACTAATGCATTGTAGTCTAATTACAAAGATCACATATGCATCAGCCTCTGCACACTCCACTGCTCTTTGCTTAGAAACACAGCCTGAGAGAGAGGAAGAATATATGTTTTGCATCTTATAAACCATAGATTTTTTGACCGCAGCTCATTTATGATTACATAAACCATACATTACACCATTTTAGTGGTGGGCGCAAGGAAAAATGTAATGATGTTCATGTTCTTTTAGAATGTTTGTAACCAACCTTCTCAGTGTTCCTCAAGGGCTGCAATAAATAATGCATGCCAGAAAAAATTAAAATCAGAACATGCTTATAAGAAAGGTGTAATTTCATCAGTTCAAGGCTGTACACTGGTTTTAAGTTTACAGTGCTGGGGAAAAGTTCTTGCCCCTTTCTTAATTTCTTATATTTTTGCATATTTGTCACACAAAAATGTTTCAGATGATCAAACAAATTTTAACAATAAACATAGATAACCCAAGTAAACATAAAATGCAGTATTTAAATTATGATTTCATTTATTGAAGGAAAAAAGCTATCCAACCCTACCTGGCCCTGTGTGAGAAAGCCATTGCCCCCTTAGTTTCTACATCAACCAATAAAAACAAATTTAATTGACAAATGGGTTCAATTTTACTAGAAACGCCAAGGCATGATTACTGTCTACCCTGCTGAATCTAAACATTACTGAATTAAAACCTGTCTAGCAATGAAAAGTAGGCAAAGGGCAGCATATGATGCTGCAATCTGAAGAAATTCAAGAATAAATGGGAAACAAAGTCATTGACATCTCTCAATCTGGAAAGGATGACCAAGCCATTTCTAAGGCTTTGGTATTCCTGCAAACCACAGTGAGAGCCATTATCCACAAATAGACAAAACTAGGACCAGGCAAAAACCACTTCTGACTTTGCTCACTACAGAAAAATCCTAAAGGAGAATGTCCGGACATGAGTTTGTGACCTAAAGCCCAAGCGCAGTTGGGTTATGCAACGGGAAAATTATCCGAGGTAAATGAGCAAGTCCACCTCTGAATGGCTCAAAAAAAAAAACAAAAAAACAAACTATGGAGTGGCCCAATCAAAGTCCTGACTAGCATATGATTGACATACTGTGGCATGACCTTCATCAAGCATTTCCCATTGGAACACCGTCTTCAATAAGATTGAATTAAAACAATTCTGCACAAGAGTGGTGGCCAAAATTCCTCCACAGCATTGTAACCAACTCATCATCAGTTATCACAAATGTTTGACTTCAGTTGTTGTGACCAAGAGTGGCACAACCACAACCATTCATTAGATTGAGGAGGGAATTCTTTTTCCACATGTGCAATATAGGTTTTGAATAGCCCTTTACTTTAAATTAATGAAATAAGCATTTAAGAGCTGCATTTTTGGGTTTACTCACATTGTCTTCGTCATATTAAAAATTTGTTGGTTAATCAAACATTTCAATATCAGAAATAAGCAAAAACAGAAGAAACACAGAAGGGGCAAATACTTTTTTACAGCAATGTACATGCACTAGCAGCAGCACAAATAGACAGTACAAAAATATACTAAAGCAAATTTCAGCCCTTAATAACATAAATGCATCAATCATAAAAACTGATCACATGTAAACTAAGACTACTGCATGCATCTGAACTGTGCTTAAGTCACAGTTCCTCCAACAACTTAAAGAGTCATAATCATGTAAGTACAATGTGTAATCTCAGTTTACATTCAGAAGACAACATGATGTATAAATCACAGTGATACTTCATTTTAACCAGGTGAAATAATATAAGCACGCAAAACAATGCTGTTTCTAATTGAAATCCAGTTTCAGATTGCTTGGGGCTATACCCACAGAAATATCACATACAAACCCCAATTCCAATGAAGTTGGGACATTGTATAAAATGTGAATAAAAACAGAATACAAATTCAAAATGGGTGAATATTTCCAAAAAAAACAATAAAGTTTATCAGTTTGAACATTAAATATCTTGTCTTTGTAGTGTACTCAATTGAATATAGGTCGAAAAGGATTTGCAAATCATTGCATACTGTTTTTATTCAGGTTTTACACAACATCCCAACTTCATTTGAATTGGGGTTTGTACTTTCAAAAAATTTCTAAAGTATTCATAAAGAAGCCTTTGACAGAGTAGTGCAAGAGTACAGAGATAGTGCCAGTGGGGTTCCCGCAGCAAACAGCCGTTTCGCGGCGCTGAAAGCACTAGTATCGAGCATTTTATAGCTCGCCTGTTTTTTGTATACAAACTCGATTATGACGTCCAAGTGAAGTTCCTGGAGATTAAAATAATTCAAAACAGAGCTGAAATGGTGGAGGACAAAGTCCTCAGAGAAAAGTCATGATCTCGTTGAAAGGTAGAGCAAAAAATGGCAAGTAGGGCGAGCGTCTGAGCAACTCCCTGAATGGTGACACAGAACACAGCATTGAAAGAACTATAGAAAGCATACCTATAAACTCCCACACATATGGTGTGAGTCTCACACTTTTTTGTGACATATCACGTTCTCACACCATGGATCAGCAATCTCATGCATAATAAACAAAAATGAAGACTGAAAAATGAAATTCGCCAAACAAATTATTTTTTTCCGAGTCCCACTTTCTAATAAACAAACGCAGTGCCGTGAGCAATAGGCGATATTTCACTGGCACGCTGATCAGTCATTACTCAATCAACCCGTATGTAAGAGATTCTCGCGTGGAATTGAAGTCCTTTGTGTATAGGAGTTTTTCAGTCACACACGCTTTACGCTGGATTTTACCATGAATGCTGGCCAAAGCAATCATTACGGCCATCTCACGTTTTTCTTTTCTTAGAGATTTGTAAGCTCTGCGAAAGTGTTCACTTTAAACGTAGATTTTCACATAAGACTAAATTTTCAAAGTTGCATCATGACTGAGCAAGCCTAGATTTGCTCTAGTAACGTGCAGTGGCGACCGATGTACAGAAAGCAGGGAGGGTATAAAAACATGCCTTTAAACAGATAATTAGTCTTGATCTGTTTCCAATCGTTTTCATCGATCAAAGATATTTTAACCCCCGTAAACATTGACCTCTCTCAGGTGCAGCTAACTCTCTCCATTACAAAGAGAAGTAAAAAGGCGTCATTTGGATGCAAAAATGTACACATTTCAATCTTTGTTTTCTCTGATTTAAACATTTAAAAGGTACCATCCCAGGTGGCTAATTTTTTTGCAAAATTATAAAAATCTGAGTATATCTGGTAAGTATTAGACAGTAATCGATAACATAAGTGATTTGATATATCAATGACAAAATTTGGTCATCTGTATAAGGAGCAGGGGCCAAAATTAGGTTACCAATCAACTTAGTCTCAGACAACTTTAATTGGATGGCCCATCTGTCAGTCAAACTGCCAAATCAACATGCACGCTGTTCTGCGCGTGCATTCCAATGTGCCGCACTTTGGCTGTAGCTATATAGCCAGCAAGAGCTAGCAAGCTAGGCATTCGGACGGAGTCATGGCGCAGCCGAACGAGCAGCCAGTTTTCCGACCTCCAACTGCACCCAGCGGTCAACCACCAGCTAAAAAGACAAAAACCTTCTTTGAAAGTATGCAAGAGAGACAAGAATATGTAAAAATTGCAAATGCAACTCGAGTATCCCTTGTCAGAGAAGCATTCGACTGCTGGAGAGAACTGAAGACACTGAAGGGTTTTAAAACCGACGCACTCGTAGCGGAGTTTCTCTTACACTGGTAAGCTAGCTTCTTGTCTTTCTTTCTGTGTGAATGCTGTACATAGACAGAAAGTGTAGTCTATACACATTGAGTAGTAAGGTCTAGGCTACTTTTGGTGTTAGCCAAATAACGTTAGCTACAGCCTAGTAATGGGTAGCCAATGTTTGCTTGTTGTTGTATGCCTAGAGATTGGCACTAGCCTGGGAAACTTGTGTGTAGGCTATAATGCCCTGGTTATGCTGTGAATCCAGTGTTGAAAGATACAGGTGTTGTTGTTGGTTGCTTTGTGTGATGTAACGTTAGGTCTGACTGCCAGTAGCCTACTTGTGTGTGGGCTATTATTCCCTGGCTATGCTGTAAATCCTGTGCAACTACCATCGATATCCAAGGCTGCTAATGCTGTCTGTGTTGTAATGTTGTCTCCGCTGTTCTGTCAATTTTTGCTACCTATCAAAATATGCTTCCTCGTGGTTCTGCGTTTGCGCAAACCTAAAATCTTGGGCTCTATTTCTTCGCTCACATCTCAAGTATCTTCAAAAATCATAAATATACGTCTTTTTTCGGTGCGCCTTTCGACCTTTTAGCGTATTTATATTTGCATGTACACGCTGGGTTTTCTTAAACGCAGAGATTGGATGATAATGGTGCATATGGGCATAGATCTTCAAACAAACTTATCCAACTCATTATTAACATCTGCTTATATTATAATAAGATAACGAATGACAACGTTACTATTGTACACTGATTCATATTACAATATTACGGCGAGAACAAAGACTTTATGATCGCTTTGCATTACGGTAGCATTTTTTGACAAGGCAGCACAAATTGTCAGAACACTGGCTGCACCGGTCAGCTGTTTGTGGTGGAATGAAGCAAGCGCACGAACTGAGTGGTGGGGGCGT